TTAGAATGATGAAAGGGGTAATCACAGCTGACATTGAAAAGGCATTCTTACAAATACAGTTACACCTTTCAGAAAGAAATTGTACTCGCTTCCTTTGGCTAAAGGAAGTAGAAGGAAGTGTATCCAACGAGAATATAAAATGTTACCGTTTTAGAAGAATCCCGTTTGGAGTAATATCATCCCCTTTTTACTATCTGCTACCCTGAATTATCATTTGGAAAACCACGTTAGTGAATTAGCCGCAGAAATAAAGAAAAACCTTTATGTGGACAACGTTATTGTGTCATCAAACGGAACGCAGGACGCATTAGAAAATATGCAGAAATGAAATCCATCTTCAATGAAGCCTCAATGAATCTAAGGGAGTTCTTATCTAACGACGAAGAATTTTATGCAGAACTGCCGCAGCAAGATCGAGCAATAAGAAAAAATACGAAAATCCTCGGCATCTCATGGAATCCCTGTCAAGACGTCATTCAGATAAAATTAAATCCATGGAATGACCGAGAACTAACAAAAAGAACGATCTTACAGTTTGTTGCATCACAATATGATCCACTAGGATTTTTAGTTCCAATAATGGTAAGATTTAAAATATTTTTGCAAAATTTATGGAAAAAGAATAATTCGTGGGATCAGATATTAGATGAGCAAGACCATAAGCAATGGAAATTTCTTATTGCTGAATGGGCAACGGTCGTAAAAGACTTACCGCGATTTGTAACAACTTCTACAGATTTAATTGGAATACATGTATTTACTGATGCTTCAAGCGTAGCATATTCAGCAGCAGTGTATTTAGTGAGTCAGGATATGCAAGAAACAAAGTTATCGCTCATTTTTGCAAAATCTCGCATTGCTCCTATTAAAGGCATGACAATACCGCGTCTAGAGCTAATGGCCATACTAATCGGAACGCGAGCAGCGCAATTTGTCATAACACAGCTGGATATCGTCAATACAAGGATAATTTTATGGTCAGATTCTAAATGTGCTTTATATTGGATAAAAAACCATTCCAACCTATTACCAAGATTTGTTCAAAACCGAGTCGAGGAAATACGTAAAACGAAATTTATCTTTCGTTATATTCCATCAGAAGATAACCATGTAGACGTGGCAACTAGAGGTCTTAATCCAAACCAACTTAGAAGTTTTACACCATGGTGGCATGGACCGTCGTGGCTAGTAAAAGGAGAAATCAGTTGGCCACAATGGGAATACGAATTTGACAACAGTGACGAACCAGAAGAAATCACTATATCAGAAGTCTCGTGAATATGCATGGATCATAACTTTCAATTTATTGATAGCAAACGTTTTAGCAAATGGCTAAGACTGTTACGAACAACAGCGTGGATCCTTAAATTCATTCGATTAACAACTAAAGGCAGATTATCATGGCTACAGTCTGTTTCAATCGAAAGAAGTCGATTTACAGCTGAAGATTACAAAGTGTCAGAATGGCTGTTAATTAGACAAGCACAATCTGAAGGAATCAATGACGACGAAATAAACAAGTGGAATTTATTCCACACCGAAGATGATAAACTATGGAGATCTACTAGCCGACTCGTGAACTCGGAACTGCCTGAAACTAGCAAATATCCTATCTATCTCCCTCGACACAACCCAATAACAGAACTCCTTATACTATACCAACATGAAAATCTGTGTCATTCAGGTATCGCCCATACACTTTCAGAATTAAGGAGTAGATTTTGGATTCCCAAAGGCAGGACTGAATAATAAACAGATGTCGAATCTGTAAACGTTGGAACTCTAGATCGTTTAAATTACCACCAATGGCAAGTCTCCCGGAAACTCGTGTCAATCGATCTAGAGCCTTCGCACATGTTGGCGTGGATTATTTTGGCCCTCTTTCAATCAAGGGCAATAGCGTGTCAACAAAAAGGTGGGTAATATTATTTACATGCTTTACAACAAGAGCCATGCATCTCGAATTAGCAGAAGACCAATCCGCAGAAACCTTTTTGCATGCTATCCGAAGATTTGTTGCGAGACGAGGGTGTCCTGAGCTAATTCTGAGTGACAGTGCCACTCAATTCCAGGCTTTCAGATCTCTTATGACACAGGTCAAAGTCTCCAACTTCTTAGCAAAGGGAAGAATGACTTGGAAAAATATTATACCAAAGGCTCCGTGGCAAGGAGGAATCTACGAGAGATTAATTGGGTTAACGAAAAATGCGCTAAGAAGAGCTATTGGCAGAAAATTTCTAGCAGAAAGGGAATTGGTAACATTAATTGCAGAAGTTGAAGGTATACTTAATACCCGACCACTAACTTACGCCAATTTTGACGATTGTGTCATTATACGTCCAACTGATTTTATTTTGCCTAACGCTTCGCTCCATCTACCTATAAATGAAGTTTATAGCAAGCAGGAAGAATTCACCCCTTATAGACTAGATACCAGAGAAAAACTCGTGAGACACTGGGAAAGTACCCTTAAAACTCTCAATGTTTTTTGGGAAATCTGGAGAACCGAATATTTAACTAGCCTCAGAGAACGCACGCAAAGGGAAATTACCTCATCCAAAGGAGCACAAAAAAGAACTCCAAGAAAGGGAGAGATTGTACTCTTAAATGAATCGGGAATTCCAAGAGGAATGTGGAAATTATCACGGATCAAGGACATCAAAATCGATAAAGACGGTAAAGTTAGGAACGTTCAGGTGGAAACTCCCACTGGGAAACTTCTCGATCGTCCAATAAATGTCTTATATCCTCTCGAAGTTAATCATGAAGAAATTCATCTTGAACCTAATAAGAAAGAAAATATGAAAATTCCGGAAACCGAACAGAACACTGAGGAGCTCCAGGAACCTATTGCGATGCGAACTAGGAGCAATACAAAACGACAATCTCGATTAAAGGAGGACCAAACAACTATCACCGCACCATCATCAGAAACCTGCAGAGATTTACACGATCAAAAACAGATCAATGGAAGTAAACAACCCCCACTTTCTTATGAACCCCACGCATTACCCACCTTTTCTGGTCGGGAGTGTCGTGAAAGACGAAATATTTAAATTATTATATCTAAAACTAACAAATTCCTCTTATCTGATTCCTTTTCCTCACACAACAAAAACCCTTTGTTAGCAAACCCTTCGTTAGCAAACCCTTTGTTAGCAAAACCCCTTATTAGCAGTCTTTGTTTCACATCAGTTAAATACCCTCTGCCGGATATCTGGTCAGCTCAGTTCTGCATATAAACCATCGTCCTTCATACGGTGGTTCATTCTGCATTTGGGGTGGTTTTGATATCATTTTAATGTTTTATAATTATATCTTTCGTTATGCGTTTGTTAATCGGTGTAGCATCCGTAAAACGATTAAATATAAAGCGCTATTATTTGCTTCATGTTAAATAAAGGTTTAATTACCCAAGTTTGAGGTTTCACGACAGTATCAATAAAATCGATATTCAAGTACCAATTTTCAAAATAAACTGTTATTTTGCTTTTATTAGTTCGCTAAATTATTAATAATCAATGCTAAACTAAGAGGAAAGGAAAAGAAGGGAAAATTATTACAAATAGAATTTAAGACTAAAAATAAATTTGCATAAATCAGTAGCAAATAAAATCTTCTATTATCTTCTTATAGTAATTTCAGTGTTCTTAAACTTTATATTATTGATAAGTAATTGGCAAAAAAAGAGAGGATTAGCATGCTAGCATCGCAATTATAATTGTTATCACTTTTTGATATTAATGCCAATAGTGATAAAAGGTCAGATATCATCATCTATAATAAGCGAACTTTTATAAACGTTATCAAATTTCAAAAATTATTTGCTAAATTTTAAAATTTAAAAAATTTCCTACAAATTCATTTCTTATTCAGTGAAATTTTTGCTGGAAAATGAAAAAAAGTAAGCTTTCTACTGATTTTTAAATTGATAATTTTTTGATATCTTTGTTCATTCATCAGTAATCAACTGACAAAAGGGACAAAGAGTAAACTTCTAAATTGATTTTACCGATTTTTTTTTTCGATTTACTTTATTGAAAAGGTAAAGTAATCTTAGGTTTTTACATTTGCTATCCATTATTCAATTATTAGATTATTTGTTGTTTTCAATATTTGATTTAAGGCATTTGCAACCATTTTATATGGCATTTCGTGTCGCAGAAAAGTAAATTAAATGATTTAATTCAATTAAAATAACAAACTTTTTAATATAATTATTTAGCATTAAAGGAGCGATGCAGAAATTAGTTGGTTATTGGGTGTATAATTGAATAAAAAATTGAAAAAGTTAATAGGAAAAGTTTAAAGGACTAAGTGTCATATCAAATATGAAAGAGCAATATCCATTGTTTTATGCAATAAATCAAATAATTCATTTTATTTCTGAACAGCTTTAGCAATCACAATTTTCTGCACTGTGGCGCAATTGTCGTTTCAAATTTTGAGTTTGATTCCAATTCTGAATTTTATCAAATCAAATTTTGTCCATGCAACGTTTTTTTTAGAATTTAACTACGTTGTTCTGAAGTTAATCATTTCTTTTCATTTTTGTCCTGTGGTCACTTCTTCTGTTAATGAGAATCGGCTTGACAAGAAGCTTTTTCCAAGTTGATTTATTTTCCAAGTTGAGTTTTTCTTTTTTTTTTTTTTTCCCAAATTTAAGAGTAAATATTAAAGGTAATGAACTTGTTCCAAGTAAGAAATAGTTTCATTCACAATAAACAAATACAATTTGAAGTATACCACCATAATTTTCTCTCGGAAAAAGAGCCATTAATTAGCATAATTCATTCAAATTTCATCAAAATTGCAACTTTATCAGCTTTTAGTAATTAATTTGCATAATTCAATTTATCGAATAAAACTATGAAAAGTTTAAAGTTATTTTTGTGAAACATTGAAAGCTAAACAAAAATGATATTGGCTCTGAAACAGAGAAAATTTTTTACGACACATTTAAAATTTTGTATTCTTTTGTGATGAATTTCATTCGGTGATTATCTGAAAAGAAAAAAACACATAAAAAATATTAAAAGAAATGTCACACTATTATATTTTTAATATTATATTATTACTATTTTTATTACATAGATGATATTTAAAAAATTTTTCTGCCAACATTTGAATTGATTAGAATATTTTATTTAAAGTTTAAAAGTGCTGATTGCTGCATAGAAGAATTTATATTCATCCATGCAACTATAAAACAAAAAATATTTTTTTTTTTTTTAAAATAAAAAGATTATTAAGCAATATTTTGATAAAACATTTAAAAAAATTTTGAAAGAAATCAAAAAATATCAAATCAAAAATAAAAACTAAATTGCACATTTACTTAGCTGACAGTAAGACTTAAACAATCTCTGTTCCTTCCCATATGTCATACTGAAATATGCGAACTCTCAGCTATACCTTTCTCTCATCTGTTAATTACTTCCTGGTTTACTCTTGTTTTTACCTAAAAATTTCATACAAATGTATATTTGTTGACCTTTTGCCGAAATGGAGAAACTCGCGGTCAAATGCGCCGCTGTTACTGTCACTTCTTTTGTTTAAATTGATCATATTGTGCTTAGATGGCACCTCTCGTTTGCCGAAATGGAGAAACTCGCGGTCAAATGCGCCTTTGTCACTGTCACTTCTTTTGTTTAAATTGATCATATTGTGCTTAGATGGCACCTCTCGTTTGCCGAAATGGAGAAACTCGCGGTCAAATGCGCCGTTGTCACTGTCACTTCTTTTGTTTAAATTGATCATATTGTGCTTAGATGGCACCTCTCGTTTGCCGAAATGGAGAAACTCGCGGTCAAATGCGCCTTTGTCACTGTCACTTCTTTTGTTTAAATTGATCATATTGTGCTTAGATGGCACCTCTCGTTTGCCGAAATGGAGAAACTCGCGGTCAAATGCGCCGTTGTCACTGTCACTTCTTTTGTTTAAATTGATCATATTGCGCATAGATGGCACCGCTCGTTTTTCGAAATTCATGGAATCTCTTGTCAATGGATCGTTGTAATTGGCTGTAAAATTTAAATAGCAAATTATTAATTTTCTTCTTTTTTTTTTTTTAGTAAATCAAAGTATGCATTTTTCATCATCATAAAACGACAAAACAGTTGACATTTTAGATGAAGATTGATTAGCCTAAATTAATTAAAATTTATAGCTTATGTAATGATAACAAATTAATTCCCTTATCTATTCCTTCCAACTATTTTTGATTATAATAATTAATGAATTAATTAATTAGAATGCGATAAAAAATTTTATTTTAAAAAAGTACGATAGAATAATCATTTAGTATTTTTCAAATTTCATTTTGCTCAGTTTCATTTTACATTTTTTTTTTTTTTTCATTTTACTCAGCTAGTTTCTTTTTTAATAAAAAAAAAAAAGCTATATTACCATAATATTCTGATTGAACAATGGCAGCAGCTAATGAAATGAGTATAAGAATTCTCATAGTTTCCATTGTTAGTTACCCTTCTCACCTGAAATGAAAAAAAAAAAAACAAACACAAAATTATATTAATCGATCGAAATATATACCACAATGGTCACCATCTTCAGTGTGATATGGTATATGATTGCGATTCGTTATTCGATCAGAAGCAACATCAAGAATTTCACAATCGTTTTCTATCAACCAAATGGTTTCGTGTGCAAAGCTCACAGCTAAATGTTTGGAAACGGTACAGCTTTCCTTTTCAGCAGATCTTTTATATGTCATATTTGAATTTAAAATTGAAATTTCCACTGGAAATGTCAGTTTATGCTTTCTGCATACTCGTCTTCATAACAGTCATCAGTAATGCTTTGAATTTAAACCACATTTTAAATTTTTATGGCTACAGATTAATCAGTCTTACACTGTTTTAAGGGCTGCTTTTTGCATTGTTGAACAATTCGAAGGGAATTATAGTCACATATTTTGCATTACGCAAACATCGAAATGTACATTGAAAACACGTGTTGATAAGGTTTATCTCTTTCTTGTTGATAACATTTCGATATGCATCAGACTACACGTAAATCATAGATTTCTTATAAATTCAGACAGTTGGAAGTTTACTTCATCTTATATATCAATTTAAAAATTAAAAATATTCTCTTCTCATTTGATTCATCGTATCAGTTTAGTGCATATTTCTGTTATTCTTTCCTCATCATGGCATATTTATAGATTATTTTGGAATGCATCAATAAAGAATTAGGCTATACACCAGATTTAGCGCAAGTTTGGACATCGGATGGTAGAAGACAAGCTTGGGTATACGTTACAGCTTCAGACAAATATTACTTTATTGGTGCTGTAGCACTGGTTGAAAAGATTTCCAGGAAACAACTGCAGTATGCAGAAGTATATCCTTTTCGTGTTATCAGTTAATTTTAATTTCATTCCATTTCTATCCACAAGTAAAAAGTCTTACTTGATATCTTTCTTTTGAGAGAAAAATCTGTAATTTAAGTGAATGCATAATGTGTTGTCTTGACAATATTTGTGTGTACACAGCCTAACATTAATTATAATTTGCATTTAATTTCAAGGAAAACAGTGCAGCAAATAATGATATAATCCCAACAAGCAACAATGTATACATGGGTGTTAATCGAATCTGGGTACATCAAACTTTAAGACGTAGAGGCATTGCAGCACTTTTGTTGGATCATGCACGATCGTATTTCGTCAGTTCTGATTCTGTGCCACGTGAAATGATTGCATTTAGTAGTCTAACAGATAGTGGTTTAGCGTTTGCTAGAAATTATATTTCTGGAGGAAAAGTCCTTCTTTACAATTTGAATCCTGAGACTTGTCACTAATCTCGATACTTCTGAAGTATAATTTAATCTATCCCCAATTTTCCACTCTCATTATTTTAAACAGAATTTTAGATCAACATTGCTATACTCCCCGAATTTTCACTATTTTTTCATTCTTTGATTCAAATAATAGAATGAAATTTTGTTTATAAATTTGATAGAAATTCCATTTGCCACTATTCTTGAATTTTGCACTGCATGGATTTAAAAAGGGCAATATTTTCGAACATCCCTTTCCTTTTTGTCTTTGTAACATTCGTGTTTAATAAAAAACTACCAACCAGATTTTAGTAACAGTTTTTCAGTGATGCATTAGATTTGTTTTTTTATAAGTGAGAAGCAAAGGAAGGAAATCCTCTCCATATTTATTAGTAGCATTTGCTGAGGTAACAAAGCCACACTTAGGATTGTAATTTATTTCGAAAATTTTCCACTCTCCTTTAAGTGTTTGCACTTTGAGTTAGTTTGTCATGATGATGATAACGATACCGATGATGATGATGATGATGGTGATAGTGATGATGATGATGGCAGTGTTGATAATTTCTATAATTTTAAATTATATTTTTCTATAATTTAAAATTAAATGAAAAACTGTCCCTTGTAAAGCAATAATGATGCTAATAATATTGATAACTTTTAAAATTCTTTCAAAACCGCTTCATACAACGAACAAAAATTAAGTGATAGCTGTTATCAGATCAATTAGAATTGAAGAAATTGTTGAGAGTATAATTTATTTCATTACTACTACTAATTTGCATATAGATAGATTACAATACGTACGTATATTTGAATATCAATATTGATCAAAACAACGAGAATTTTCGAAACAAAATGTGAATGCTTTGTTTTTACTACTAAAAAGATTATTTGGATCAATAAATTAGTTAATTACTTCTTAGCAGATATTACTCTAAGTTAACAATAAGTTGAAATACTTTAGCAGCTATGCTTCTACCGGCACTTCTCACAGTGCATGAATTGTTGGTTGACTTTGATGACACAACAAGTTATCCGTTACTTTGGTAACAGAGATGAAAAGGATGAAAAACAATTTTGAAATGAATTCTCTCTCTCTTTTGAAATAACTAACAAACTGATCGATCTACTATTTCTATTCATTTCTTATCATATTTTCCTTTTGAATATATCTCACATTTTTAGTACTTTAATTGCTTCATTAAAACTATGAAATAATTGTTTCTCATTTCTTTTTTTTAAATATTTCTCAATCCATCTGCTGTTTTCGATATTTTCGACAGTGTTTAAACGACGAAGTAAAATATTTAAAGTGAATGAAGAATTAATATCTATTATTAGCATACATTCATAATGATTAATAATAACAACAATAACAATAATAATAATAACAGTAGTAATAATACCAATAACAATACTAATACCAATAATAATATTATTATTGGTATTATTACTACTTTTCCGTTAGTGGAGCATTGAAGAATACCTCTCTTTTGTCAAATAAGGTAAAAAAAAAATTCAAATTGCCAATATTACTGTGAAATGATAATGATTTTGATAATTATTCATAATTTCGTACCATTTCACTTCATTTTTTCGAGAAAACTATAGTTTTGATCTGTCATCATATCTGTCGTGAAAGAAAACTATAGTTTTGATCTGTCATCGTATCTGTCGTGAAAATTATTCATTACCTGCCACATCATGATGTTCGTAATCCAGGTAAAACTACCACTAAGTTAAGGATTGTTTATGATGCTTCAGCGCACATAAAGGGAATGAAAAGTTTAAATGAAGTATTATATCGTGGATCAATTAACCTCCCAGATCTTGTGGGAGGATTATTACGCTTTAGAATGATGAAAGGGGTAATCACAGCTGACATTGAAAAGGCATTCTTACAAATACAGTTACACCTTTCAGAAAGAAATTGTACTCGCTTCCTTTGGCTAAAGGAAGTAGAAGGAAGTGTATCCAACGAGAATATAAAATGTTACCGTTTTAGAAGAATCCCGTTTGGAGTAATATCATCCCCTTTTTACTATCTGCTACCCTGAATTATCATTTGGAAAACCACGTTAGTGAATTAGCCGCAGAAATAAAGAAAAACCTTTATGTGGACAACGTTATTGTGTCATCAAACGGAACGCAGGACGCATTAGAAAAATATGCAGAAATGAAATCCATCTTCAATGAAGCCTCAATGAATCTAAGGGAGTTCTTATCTAACGACGAAGAATTTTATGCAGAACTGCCGCAGCAAGATCGAGCAATAAGAAAAAATACGAAAATCCTCGGCATCTCATGGAATCCCTGTCAAGACGTCATTCAGATAAAATTAAATCCATGGAATGACCGAGAACTAACAAAAAGAACGATCTTACAGTTTGTTGCATCACAATATGATCCACTAGGATTTTTAGTTCCAATAATGGTAAGATTTAAAATATTTTTGCAAAATTTATGGAAAAAGAATAATTCGTGGGATCAGATATTAGATGAGCAAGACCATAAGCAATGGAAATTTCTTATTGCTGAATGGGCAACGGTCGTAAAAGACTTACCGCGATTTGTAACAACTTCTACAGATTTAATTGGAATACATGTATTTACTGATGCTTCAAGCGTAGCATATTCAGCAGCAGTGTATTTAGTGAGTCAGGATATGCAAGAAACAAAGTTATCGCTCATTTTTGCAAAATCTCGCATTGCTCCTATTAAAGGCATGACAATACCGCGTCTAGAGCTAATGGCCATACTAATCGGAACGCGAGCAGCGCAATTTGTCATAACACAGCTGGATATCGTCAATACAAGGATAATTTTATGGTCAGATTCTAAATGTGCTTTATATTGGATAAAAAACCATTCCAACCTATTACCAAGATTTGTTCAAAACCGAGTCGAGGAAATACGTAAAACGAAATTTATCTTTCGTTATATTCCATCAGAAGATAACCATGTAGACGTGGCAACTAGAGGTCTTAATCCAAACCAACTTAGAAGTTTTACACCATGGTGGCATGGACCGTCGTGGCTAGTAAAAGGAGAAATCAGTTGGCCACAATGGGAATACGAATTTGACAACAGTGACGAACCAGAAGAAATCACTATATCAGAAGTCTCGTGAATATGCATGGATCATAACTTTCAATTTATTGATAGCAAACGTTTTAGCAAATGGCTAAGACTGTTACGAACAACAGCGTGGATCCTTAAATTCATTCGATTAACAACTAAAGGCAGATTATCATGGCTACAGTCTGTTTCAATCGAAAGAAGTCGATTTACAGCTGAAGATTACAAAGTGTCAGAATGGCTGTTAATTAGACAAGCACAATCTGAAGGAATCAATGACGACGAAATAAACAAGTGGAATTTATTCCACACCGAATTTTTATTCCACGATGATAAACTATGGAGATCTACTAGCCGACTCGTGAACTCGGAACTGCCTGAAACTAGCAAATATCCTATCTATCTCCCTCGGAACAACTCAATAACAGAACTCCTTATACTATACCAACATGAAAATCTATGTCATTCAGGTATCGCCCATACACTTTCAGAATTAAGGAGTAGATTTTGGATTCCCAAAGGCAGGACTGAAGTAAAGCGAATAATAAACAGATGTCGAATCTGTAAACGTTGGAACTCTAGATCGTTTAAATTACCACCAATGGCAAGTCTCCCGGAAACTCGTGTCAATCGATCTAGAGCCTTCGCACATGTTGGCGTGGATTATTTTGGCTCTCTTTTAATCAAGGGCAATAGCGTGTCAACAAAAAGGTGGGTAATATTATTTACATGCTTTACAACAAGAGCCATACATCTCGAATTAGCAGAAGACCAATCCGCAGAAACCTTTTTGCATGCTATCCGAAGATTTGTTGCGAGACGAGGGTGTCCTGAGCTAATTCTGAGTGACAATGCCACTCAATTCCAGGCTTTCAGATCTCTTATGACACAAGTCAAATGACTCTTATGACACAAGTCAAAGTCTCCAACTTCTTAGCAAAGGGAGGAATGACTTGGAAAAATATTATACCAAAGGCTCCGTGGCAAGGAGGAATCTACGAGAGATTAATTGGGTTAACGAAAAATGCGCTAAGAAGAGCCATTGGCAGAAAATTCCTAGCGGAAAGGGAATTGGTAACATTAATTGCAGACGTTGAAAGTATACTTAATACCCGACCACTAACTTACGCTAATTTTGACGATTGCGTCATTATACGTCCAATTGATTTTATTTTGCTTAACGCTTCGCTCCATCTACCTATAAATGAAGTTTATAGCAGGCAGGAAGAATTCACCCCTTATAGACTAGATACCAGAGAAAAACTCGTGAGACACTGGGAAAGTACCCTTAAAACTCTCAATGTTTTTTGGGAAATCTGGAGAACCGAATATTTAACTAGCCTCAGAGAACGCACGCAAAGGGAAATTACCTCATCCAAAGGAGCACAAAAAAGAACTCCAAGAAAGGGAGAGATTGTACTCTTAAATGAATCGGGAATTCCAAGAGGAATGTGGAAATTATTACGGATCAAGGACATCAAAATCGATAAAGACGGTAAAGTTAGGAACGTTTAGGTGGAAACTCCCACTGGGAAACTTCTCGATCGTCCAATAAATGTCTTGTACCCTCTCGAGGTTAATGATGAAGAAATTCATCTTGAACCTAATAAGAAAGAAAATATGAAAATTCCGGAAACCAAACAGAACACTGAGGAGCTCCAGGAACCTATTGCGATGCGAACTAGGAGCAATACAAAACGACAATCTCGATTAAAGGAGGACCAAACAACTATCACCGCACCATCATCAGAAACCTGTAGAGATTTACACGATCAAAAACAGATCAATAGAAGTAAACAACCCCCACTTTCTTATAAACCCCACGCATTACCCACCTTTTCTGATCGGGAGTGTCGTGAAAGACGAAATATTTAAATTATTATATCCAAAACTAACAAATTCCTCTTATCTGATTCCTTTTCCTCACACAACAAAAACCCTTTGTTAGCAAACCCTTCGTTAGCAAACCCTTTGTTAGCAAAACCCTTTATTAGCAATCTTTGTTTCACATCAGTTAAATATCCTCTGCCGGATATCTGGTCAGCTCAGTTCTGCATATAAACCATCGTCCTCCATACGGTGGTTCATTCTGCATTTTGGGATGATTTTGATATCATTTTAATGTTTTATAATTATATCTTTCGTTACGCGTTCGTTAATCGGTGTAGCATCCGTACGATATGTATAAAGCGCTATTATTTGCTTCATGTTAAATAAAGGTTTAATTACCCAAGTTTGAGGTTTCACGACAGTATCAATAAAATCGATATTCAAGTACCAATTTTCAAAATAAACTGTTATTTTGCTTTTATTAGTTCGCTAAATTATTAATAATCAATGCTAAACTAAGAGGAAAGGAAAAGAAGGGAAAATTATTACAAATAGAATTTAAGACTAAAAATAAATTTGCATAAATCAGTAGCAAATAAAATCTTCTATTATCTTCTTATAGTAATTTCAGTATTCTTTAACTTTATATTATTGATAAGTAATTGGCAAAAAAAGAGAGGATTAGCATGCTAGCATCGCAATTATAATTGTTATCACTTTTTGATATTAATGCCAATAGTGATAAAAGGTCAGATATCATCATCTATAATAAGTGAACTTTTATAAACGTTATCAAATTTCAAAAATTATTTGCTAAATTTTAAAATTTAAAAAATTTCCTACAAATTCATTTCTTATTCAGTGAAATTTTTGCTGGAAAATGAAAAAAAGTAAGCTTTCTACTGATTTTTAAATTGATAATTTTTTGATATCTTTGTTCATTCATCAGTAATCAACTGACAAAAGAGACAAAGAGTAAACTTCTAAATTGATTTTACCGATTTTTTTTTCGATTTACTTTATTGAAAAGGTAAAGTAATCTTAGGTTTTTACATTTGCTATCCATTATTCAATTATTAGATTATTTGTTGTTTTCAATATTTGATTTAAGGCATTTGCAACCATTTTATATGGCATTTCGTGTCGCAGAAAAGTAAATTAAATGATTTAATTCAATTAAAATAACAAACTTTTTAATATAATTATTTAGCATTAAAGGAGCGATGCAGAAATTAGTTGGTTATTGGGTGTATAATTGAATAAAAAATTGAAAAAGTTAATAGGAAAAGTTTAAAGGACTAAGTGTCATATCAAATATGAAAGAGCAATATCCATTGTTTTATGCAATAAATCAAATAATTCATTTTATTTCTGAACAGCTTTAGCAATCACAATTTTCTGCACTGTGGCGCAATTGTCGTTTCAAATTTTGAGTTTGATTCCAATTCTGAATTTTATCAAATCAAATTTTGTCCATGCAACGTTTTTTTAGAATTTAACTACGTTGTTCTGAAGTTAATCATTTCTTTTCATTTTTGTCCTATGGTCACTTCTTCTGTTAATGAGAATCGGCTTGACAAGAAGCTCCAAATTATTTTCAAGTTGAGTTTTTCTTTTTTTTTTTTTTCCCAAATTTAAGAGTAAATATTAAAGGTAATGAACTTGTTCCAAGTAAGAAATAATTTCATTCACAATAAACAAATACAATTTGAAGTATACCACCATAATTTTCTCTCGGAAAAAGAGCCATTAATTAGCATAATTCATTCAAATTTCATCAAAATTGCAACTTTATCAGCTTTTAGTAATTAATTTGCATAATTCAATTTATCGAATAAAACTATGAAAAGTTTAAAGTTATTTTTGTGAAACATTGAAAGCTAAACAAAAATGATATTGGCTCTGAAACAGAGAAATTTTTTACGACACATTTAAAATTTTGTATTCTTTTGTGATGAATTTCATTCGGTGATTATCTGAAAAGAAAAAAACACATAAAAAATATTAAAAGAAATGTCACACTATTATATTTTTAATATTATATTATTACTATTTTTATTACATAGATGATATTTAAAAAATTTTTCTGCCAACATTTGAATTGATTAGAATATTTTATTTAAAGTTTAAAAGTGCTGATTGCTGCATAAAAGAATTTATATTCATCCATGCAACTATAAAACAAAAAATATTTTTTTTTTTTTAAATAAAAAGATTATTAAGCAATATTTTGATAAAACATTTAAAAAAATTTTGAAAGAAATCAAAAAATATCAAATCAAAAATAAAAACTAAATTGCACATTTACTTAGCTGACAGTAAGACTTAAACAATCTCTGTTCCTTCCATATGTCATACTGAAATATGCGAACTCTCAGCTATACCTTTCTCTCATCTGTTAATTACTTCCTGGTTTACTCTCGTTTTTACCTAAAAATTTCATACAAATGTATATTTGTTGACCTTTTGCCGAAACTGAGAAACTCGCGGTCAAATGCGCCGCTGTCAATGCCACTTTTTTTGTTTGAATTGATCAGATTGCGCTCAAATGGCACCGCTCGTTTGCCGAAATTCATGAAATCCCTATCAAAAGTGCTGCTTTTCTTGTGGAGTAATTCGGGATTGTCACCAACTTTTAGTGTTATATCAGACCAATCGTCACCAATGGAACGTTTTCCAAAATTCATGAAATCTCTCGAGAACTAAACAAATTAAAATATGTAACAATTTAAGGCATTCATCAATGAAAACTACTTTTTCTTTGAATTATTATGAAGAAATTATGTCAACTTTTTTTCTTTTTTCAATTTTTACCATATTTCATATTTAATATTTTAGTTTTTTCTTTTTTTTTATTTAAATATTTTTGAAATTATTCTTCATTTTTTTAATAGTTAAAATGCATTAACTTGCATCTTTTATTAAATTTTTACCAGGAACTTTTTTAAATTTTATTGCATAAATTGATTTAAATATAATTTCAAATAAAATAAATAATTTTTGTGTAAGACTAAAGACTATTTTAAGTATTCTAAATGCAACAATGAAAATATTAAAAACATTTTTAAACAAAAGAATGCTAACTAATAAAAAAAATATTACTCTTTTTGATGACATCTGTTGACATTGACAAACAAATTATATTCCTATCATTTACAGAAATTAAAATTAAGAATTAAAAAAAAAAAAAAAAAAGGATCTAGAAAAAGATAAAAAGGATGTGGACAATGATGATTTTTGTGTGACAAAAAAGCTTTTTGTCACCTCTCCTCTTTTAGAGAAGCAATATTGCGATCAATTGTGGTATTATTATATTTGGTGAACGTTTTCCAAAATGCATGAAATCTCTTGCCAATCGATCGTTGTAATTGGCTGTAAAATTTAAATAGCAAATTATTAATTTTTTTTTTTTTAGTATTTTCATCATCATAAAACGACAAAACAGTTGACATTTTAGATGAAGATTGATTAGCCTAAATTAATTAAAATTTATAGCTTATGTAATGATAACAAATTAATTCCCTTATCTATTCCTTCCAACTATTTTTGATTATAATAATTAATGAATTAATTAATTAGAATGCGATAAAAAATTTTATTTTAAAAAAGTACGATAGAATAATCATTTAGTATTTTTCAAATTTCATTTTGCTCAGTTTCATTTTACATTTTTTTTTTTTTTTCATTTTACTCAGCTAGTTTCTTTTTTAATAAAAAAAAAAAGCTATATTACCATAATATTCTGATTGAACAATGGCAGCAGCTAATGAAATGAGTATAAGAATTGTCATAGTTTCCATTGTTAGTTACCCTTCTCACCTGAAATGAAAAAAAAAAAAAAACAACAAAATTATATTAATCGATCGAAATATATACAACAATGGAAAAAGCGCATACTAAAATTGCTTCTAAAATTTCAAACATTGAAATTTTATGAGTTAAATTTTAATCTTTAAATGATGGACAAATTTAATTTTTATTGATTGCCATTTTAGCACAAAACAATTAGTATTGGAGAGTAATTACATCATATTTTGATCTAATGAAATAATAATAGTTAGTTTAGATTTACTAATGCATAATCATTAATCAATAAACAATCATTATTTTTTTTGCGGAATCAATCCACTGACCGGAAGAGAGCGGAAAGCGGAAAAGTTGAAAGTTATATGTACTAAATTTTAATACTAAATTAGCAATTGATTTGCTTTACTTTCAATTATCTTCAGAAAAAAAAGTTTTTTTTTTTAAGAGAATCATTTCAGTTTGCACTTTATGATGATTAACCTTCCGAATGATGTCAGGAAATGGCCTTCCTGAATGATTTCTTGACGAGAAATTTCTGAATGGATATTCGAGAACTAATTTCCTGGATGATAGAGTTTCTGTTGAATATGAATGAAGAATGCTTCTAAATGATATTTGAAGGTGAGCTTTCCGAAATATCCAGGGATGGACTTCCTAGACAATTTGAATTTCTCTCAGATGACAATAAACTGCCATAAGTCATACCTGTACTATTTGCTTGCCTTGAAGCCTATCATAAAACGGAAAAAGTTAATTAGTACTGATAAATTTATAAAGTTAAATTTATCATCCCAGTCCCTAGCTGTCACCCTAGTTCCTAGTTGTCACCACACTTAATAGCTATCATCCCAGTTAATAGCTAACTATCATAATATCATTTTGATGACACACTAAAATTGTCAAAGTGTCCTGCTATCAAGTACTAAAGTTTGCTATTATTTTAAATGAGAAAAGCTTGAAAGTAATAATTTACATAGTATCAAAATTTTAAAGAGTTTTAAATAAAGGAAGGAAATTAAGAAAAAATCTAATTGCTCTCCTTGTTGACAAATCATTTATTTGGAATATTTTCAAAATTTCTAAAACTTTTTTTTTAGCTATTAGAGTAAATTAATTTTATGCAAATGAAAGAATTATTTGTTTATCATAATCAAATTACAATGATAAAATGAAAGTATAAGTAATAAAAAAAAAAAGATTTTAAGGAAAATTTGGTCAAAATAGTACAAAAAACATGAATTTTGAGAGATAGCAAGTAAATAATAATTTAATAACAATTATTTGTTTATCTATACGACAGAAATGACAGAAAAGATCTTTTAGCAATAATAATTCTTGAAAAAAAAAAAAAAAATTAAGTTTCCTTATTAAATTTAAAAAATATTATTTCAAATGCTATTAATAAAAAAGAAAAGTGATAAATGGAAAATGAGCGGAACAGCTTTAACAAATGGTATATAATTTGTAAAGTTAAACAAAAAAGAAAAAAAGGGAATCAAAGTATAAAGTCGTCTTAAGGAAGCATTTTATGAATTCGCAGTACTAATAAATTGGATTTGAACGAATATTAAATTAAAGACTTTTTTTTTTATTTTCTTCAATAATATTACGAAATTTAATATTTATTTCATTTTTTGGTAAATGCAATTTAAAAAGTTTATCGTACTAAGAAAAGTGTAAACAATACGTTCACAATTGTTTGTTTACAAACTAATGAGTTTTTTTTTTTTTTTTTTCTTGACAAAATATTTAAATAGGAAAAGTTTGATAATTAATTGAAATTGAAAAAATTTTTATAAAATTGAAATATATGCAAAAAGAAGAAAAAAAAAAACTAATAGTTAAGCTAATTTTTTTTTTTTTAGTTAAGCAAAAAAAAAATGAGAATAAATAAAAGCAATGAAAAAGTCTTTGAGATGCATAATGAAAAAAAAAAAATGATTGAAAGAATTATATCATCAAGTCGTTCTTATTTATAATTTCACTATTCAACAAATCATCAAAAATAGATGAGTTTGAAGGGAGGAGAAGAAGTAAAATTGAAAGTAATGAAAGAGAGATAATGAATTGCTTACTATTATTATTATTATTATTTACTCATAATTTGCAATTCATTTGTAAGCATCAAGCGGAGCAGTAGAAAATAAAATGCGATACGATGCGATGCGATACGAATCTGTCGCATTTCTCGTAAAAAAGAATTTGCAACAGTTTTTTTTTTGAAATGAAAATGAAAAAAAAAAATTTTGAATTAAATCAATTCTAACGCATTTGTATGTGCAATATTTATTAAACAGCTAATTCGTGTCGAAGATCAGCTAAAAATTTTTGAATTAAATCAATTCTAACGTGTGTCGCAGATCAGCTAATTTGTGTCGCAGATCAGCTAATTTGTGTCGAAGATCAGCTAATTCGTGTCGAAGATCAGCTAATTTGTGTCGCAGATCAGCTAAATTTGTGTCGAAGATCAGCTAATTTGTGTCGAAGATCAGCTAATTTGTGTCGAAGATCAGCTAATTTGTGTCGAAGATCAGCTAATTTGTGTCGAAGATCAGCTAATTTGTGTCGAAGATCAGCTAATTTGTGTCGAAGATCAGCTAATTTGTGTCGAAGATCAGCTAATTTGTGTCGAAGATCAGCTAATTTGTGTCGAAGATCAGCTAATTTGTGTCGAAGATCAGCTAATTTGTGTCGAAGATCAGCTATTTGTGTCGAAGATCAGCTAATTTGTGTCGAAGATCAGCTAATTTGTGTCGAAGATCAGCTAATTTGTGTCGAAGATCAGCTAATTTGTGTCGAAGATCAGCTAATTTGTGTCGAAGATCAGCTAATTTGTGTCGAAGATCAGCTAATTTGTGTCGAAGATCAGCTAATTTTGTCGAAGATCAGCTAATTTGTGTCGAAGATCAGCTAATTTGTGTCGAAGATCAGCTAATTTGTGTCGAAGATCAGCTAATTTGTGTCGAAGATCAGCTAATTTGTGTCGCAGATAAGCTAATTAGATCACTGAATTATGTTCATTAATTATTCAAACAGACATTTAATCAGCAGCATTTGAATCAATGAATTAGTTAATTAAATAATTAAAATATCTATTTTGATAGCAACCATATCACTTTATCACTAAATGCGCTAACATCACAACAAAATTAACAATTAATCAGTAATCTGAAAATTATTTATCATAATGGTAATTGTGCTTGATAGTGTAATAGCATTGTTAAATTATTCAAGTTTTTAAAATAATTTAATCAGTGATTAGACATTGCAAAAATTAGTAAACTGCAAGAAATAATTTGCGAAAACAAAAAAAAAAATAAAATTAAATTAAAAAAATGATAAAAGGACAAAAATTCCTTATACTTAAGTTTTATTAAATCTATTCAATTGTATTGTGATTCGACTATTTGTGCAATTAATTCATTATTTCATTCTTAAATCGACAAATTTTTGTTCATTTCAGAAGAGTAAATTTAAATTAGCATTTTTAATCGGAAAAAAATTATACAATTTAATTAGCTTATAATAATTATTTAAAGCATCATTGCTAAAACTTTGGATGATTCTGAATTTTTCTTTCTTCCATATAGCAAATTTATTTTTCATTCAGCAATTTAAATTTTTCCAACAAGTTTAGCTTTTATTTTAGTCTACACAAATTTTAGTTTCTTTCTTCTAAATTAAAATTATGCTCCTAAATTGATTGTTGTATTATTTGTTGTAATAATTACAAAAACTAAATTCATTCAAATAAATTTACGACACTTTCATTCAAATAAATTTACGACAATAATTTTTGTTTTTTTTTTTTTTTTTTTAATGGAAAACACTCAGAATAATTCTCAATATATAAATTAAGTTCAAAAAAAAAAAAAAAAAATAAAAAAAAATCACTTACAATCATTTTAGCTTAGTTCTTTTATAGTACAAAAGGCATATAAATGGTAGAATGAATGAAATATATTTAATTGCAAGCATTCATTGCCATCAATTTTCTTCTCATTAAAAATAAAACAAAGTTTAAAATCATAAGTCCATGGCTGAATTTATCATCCAGCAGTGATTGCAGAATTGTTTATCTATCTACAATATTCTAGCATTTATCAATTATCAACATTATCACACTGATTAAATCATTTTGTGATCAGATGAAAATTTATTTAGCGATTCAATCGATAAATGTTGAATTTTACACTTAGATATAAGTTAAGCAGTTATTAATTAGCAAAGCCAAAAAATAAAAATATCATTAACGAGGGATAAAATTTAATTTAAAAAATTACTAATTTGTTAGAATTGTTATAAATTAATTGAAATGAAAAGTCAACAAATACTTTTTTTTTTTTTGTAATTAGTACAAAATGAAAACGATTTTATTCATTGTTTAATAAATTTTAAATATTACAATGCTTAAATTAAAAATATGAAATGGGCAATTATGCAAAGACGAAGATCCGAAATACCCTAAACTATAATTTAATTTCTCATTTGCATGCACATATAATTTGATAAGCTATTGCAAAAAGCATATCAGATCAATTAAAAAAATTTAGGTAAGCAAATTAGTAGAAAATCTTAAATTGAATAAATTTTTTTAAAATTTTTGACTTTTTCATTTTTTGTTCAACTACTAAACAATTTCAATTGTTCTCGAGTCTTGACTGATCAATGATAATGTCATCTGCTAAACCGTAATTATCATCATTACAAGAGTTCCTCTTTTTTTTTTTTACTAACTTTTTTCAACTTCTCTCTTCAACACAAATCAAAAAAAAAAAAGTAAATAATCAAATTCCATCAAACAATATAAGTTTGAAATATTTGATGAAATTTGATAATGCGTGTAGAATGCATAATGTAATAATAAATGTTTTAATTGATTTTTAAATTTAGAATTCAAATTTTGATATTATTATTTTTGCTTTTTTCTTCATTACCTGTAATCGATTCATGCATTATGCAAACATTACTAAAACTCAATTAATAATGATTTGACACAAGAGGACGGTCATTTTTTTTTAAGCATCCAAAGTTACCGATGACGAATTATTCTCGAGAAAACTGTAAATAATCTTTTGTAGATGACAAATTGCTGCTAAATCATAAGTAATTAGACTTAAATGAAGAAAACTAAATTTCATTTTTTGTAAAAATTCAAAATTTAAGCCTCAAAATTGAAATTTCTTGTGTTGAAAAATTTTAATTGAAATGCATAAATGATTATACTGCAATTTTTAAAGAAAAAATCAACTCAATATTCAACTAAGTTACAGTTGCAGATATATCTGAACTTTGACATTTGAAACTGATTGCAGTTATGTCAGTTAAGTTTGATATTTCAAATTTAACTTTAATTTTACTGAATTGATCTTCCAGTTAAAAGCAGCTGCATTATTAATCTATCAGAATCTATCGGCTAATTAAAACTTTCAATTTTAATTAGCAGTATTGCAACGCAACTTAAATTCATCAAATTTTAGTAATACTATCTGGCAAAATTACAAAACAAAGTGTAGCAAAGATTATTATAAAATCAACGATGAATGAACGAAAAATTAAATGAAATTTTAATTTAGGACTGAATGCAAAATGATTACATTTCCTTTTCTTATCATACAAAATTAAATTAGCAATAAATGCTAAGAGAAACTGCGCAATATTAAAAGTAAGCTAACAAATTTTAAATGAAATTTGAATTTGATTACAAACTTTTTGTACGCCATAAATAGATGATTTCAATGTGAAAATTTTTAAAATATTTTACTAATAAATAAGCAATTAATTCTTTCATTTTTTCACTTTTTTTTTTTTTTCATTCCATTTCTAGACAATAAAAAGATTGAAGAAAAAAAAAAATAAAATGAAGTAGAATGAAATTTAAGAAAGAATTATTAGAGAATAATTTGAAATAAGCTGATATTACTGGCATCTAACAACTACAAATGCAAATATTTCTATTCAAATATTTTAATTATAAGAATTTCAAAAAGAAATTGAAAAATGAAAAAAAAAATTGAAAAGCTAAAAAAAAAAAGAAAAAAAGACATGAAACTTAAAATAATTTACATTTATTCACTCGGAGAACTCAAATGTAAATTGAAACAGATATTTTCCTTCCATTTTTCTCTCTCCTCCTCTACGCTTACATTCTTTTCCTTATTTTCCCATCCTTTTTAATTTTGAAAAAAAAAAAAAAAAAAAAAAATTAAACGGAAGTAAATAAATAAAAAAAACGAATAAAGCCATTTTAGTCATTTAAACATTTTAATGGTAAAATGAAATGTTGTTAATTTAAATCTATTTTGTCTCCAAAAGTTTTAATTACATCTTAGAGACTGTCATCAAATATTCAGTGTTGTTATTGCAGTAGCACTTTTTTTTTTTCATTGGCCTTGTTGTCGTACAAATTTTTTTTTTTTTATACAATTTCTGGACAAAACTCGTCGTCACAATGTCTAAATGATAATTGACAAATATTGCAGAAGGTCAGATTCTGCAAAACGCAATGACAAGTCAAAATTAAAAAATATAATTGGGAGGAAACGTCATTCCTTTGCATTACTGCAATATGTAATTAATATGCGGACAATTTGACAACTGACAGATTTGCGAACGGTTGATAGTTGATGGTTGCGAACGATTTGTCAGCTGACAGATCTGCGGAACGGTTGATAGTTGATGGTTTGCGAACGATTTGACAGCTGACAGATTTGCGGAAAGATTTAACAAGTGATAGATTTGTGGAACGATTGACGGCTGATAGATTTGCGGAATGACCTGACAGTCGATGGATTTGCGGAACGCTTTGTATGCATAATGGGTAAGATGAAATCACAAAGAAACATCAGAAGATCATCGATAAATTCTGTTTTTCATATGAAATTCCATCTTAACCAGTTCCGAAGATCGGAAATCATCCGTGAAGAAACTTTAATCGTTTACAAGAATTTTAGACAGTCAGAAAAGTAAATAAACGAAATAAAAAAACGTCGGTGACGAAAGATAAAATTGCAAAGATTTATAAATAAAATGATGTTTAATGAACGGTAAGCTCTTCCGTTATTGGGAAAAAAAAAGAAAAAAAAAAAACGGTCTGAAACTTTGAAGGTAAACATCTAAAAGCCATTAAACTGATATTTTAAAAATACTAAGTCGGATAAAATGTTGAAAAATTTCAAATTATACTACACTGCTGTTTTAAATAAAATAAGCTAAAGACGTACTTGAAGTAATTTCTATCCTTCTACCTTTACTTTACATATAAATATGATTAAATTAAATACTTTATTTAAAAATTCATACTTACAATCCAAGAATTTTAAATCCTTTACTTTTTATAATCATTTTCAATTTTAGTTTTTCTGTTGAATGTAAAAACACTTTATGCAAGCAAAATGATTGGGTTTTTTTTTTTTTTTTCATTTTTTAGTTTTCTGTGGAAATAATTCGAAAAAGCATAAAACTTTTTTTTAAAAATCAATTGAATAATTTTTGAAATTCGTTTATTTTGATGGGAAGAAAGATTAGAATGAATGGTAAAAAATAAATTTATTTTCAAAATTATTTTTATATAGCCAAATATGCATAGCAGAAAT